TGGTCTAACATGCCTAAGTCTGTGTCATGCTAAGGCGAACGAGAATGTAACTCTCACTTCTATTAAAATGACCTCAACTTTTGGGCTCAGCTAAATCCAATTAGTTATGAATTCATGTGGGTTAAGACTTATGTTTATACCACTTTCCATGCTTGTGGAAAAAAAAAAAGAAAAAAAAAAAAAAAAAAAAAAAAAAAAAAAAATATATATATATATAGTATACCTGAGGAACTGAAGGTTGTAAAAAATCAATATTTAAATTTGAATAGGCATATGTGGCTATTTAATTAGTCTAGACCATAAGTCTAGCATTTAAAGCCAATATCATATCAGTATATCTTAGAAATAGGACTGATTAGTCCCAAATTCTTGGGCTTCCCCAAGGGCTTTCATTTATCAACATCCTTGCTCTGCCATGCCAGGCTCCTGATGCCACGTTCCTGGTTGCAGATACTTCCTCTGTTTTGGGGGGCCCTATATTGTGACCACCAAAATGATGAAGTACCTAAGTACAGCTAAGCAGTCATGAAAACAGAGGAAATGGTTTGGTGGATATTTTAGGGGTTATTTCTTAATCTGCTATTCAGGAAGTACTAAAAAGTTATAGGTTTCCTTTCTGGTTTCTCAAGACAAGTTACTTGGCATAATTCTAAGAGATTAAATCCAGGTGAATTGTTGTCAACAGAGTACTATTTTTTTTCCCCCATAAGTGTATTGCGTTTGTAAGAAGAAAGGATGTGAATGAGAACTTTGATTTAAAATAATGTTTGGCATCTGCCAGGCCTGGTTCTGGTGCATTCTCTCAGTACAGAGGATAAGGTTTATCTTTATATACAGGTGAGGAGACCGAGGCTCAGAGAGGTTGTTACTGGCCTGAGGACACTAACTTTGCTGGTAGGTAGGAGAGATGGGGTTGGAACGCCAAGCGCTCTGATCCCAGAGCCACATTATGGCCCCTCTGTGATCTCCTCCTGAGAAGTTTGCAGGCCTTTCCTCTGCAGGACTGATGGACTTTGCAGAGGAACATACTGAAGGCCAGCACCCCTTGGTGGACTCTGCGCCTAGGTGTTTGATGATGCCAGTATCTGCTTTTTAGTAACTCAGGGATTAATTGTCTTCAGACTGTCCTCACCACTTTGGCAAGATGACTGTTCCTATGTCCTACCCTGATCTGATATTTGTGACTCCTACAGAAAAAAGAGACACATTTGGATTTAAAATAAACGTGCCTAAATAGGGCAGTGATATAACTAAGCTATTTGTTATCTAAACACGAGGAAAAATAAAGAAAAGAATAATCTATTTCTAAAAAGTGCAGAATGGGCATTGTGAAGAAAAGAACTTTATTTTTTCTGAATTAAAAATTAGGGGGTTAGGCCAGGCACAGTGTCTCACGCCTGTAATCCCAGGATGAAGTGGGAGGATTACTTGAGGCCAGGAGTTTGAGACCAGCCTGGGAAACATAGTGAAACCCCATCTCTACAAAAATTTAAAAATTAGTGGATGTGGTAGCTTGCAACTGTAGTCAAAGCTACTCAGGAGGCTGAGGTGGGAGGATCACTTGAGCCCAGGGGTTTGAGGTTACAGTGAGCTACAATGATGCCACTGCACTCTAGCCTGGGTGACATAGAGCAAGACCCTGTCTAAAAAAAAAATGCAGTTAATATATTATTGCTGTTAAAGTATATTCTTTTATTTGTTTTTAAAAATAACAAGGAGTTTTATAATCACCAGTATTGACCACTTAAATGGTGTGAATCATCACTAATTTTTTTTTTAAGTACATTATGGATTGAGAGAATATGGTACGGGCTGACACTTAGTGTCCTGGGTTGAGATGCCCCTGGTTGTGTTCATACATGCAGCCTCCTCATTTCATTACTCTGCTGCTGTTTGGCCCTTATGGCCCGACTGTTCTTGATTCCTGCCCCCTCCTACCTGACTCCAGTGCCTTCCAGGATCTTGGTCATTTTTATCAACTTTCTACTTCTTGCCTTAATATTTTTATTCCTCAGGCAGACTTTCCTCAGTAGAAAACAATCTTGTCTTGGTGTAAACTGCAACTGTTGTCACCACAGGCATTTCATTTTATCAGTTGACATGTACTGAGTGTGTTGGGTGCCTTCCAACATCTATATGATAGATATCTCTAAGTTTCATATCACCATCACAAGCTCTGTGCTATCCTGATTTTCATGGGTGAGGAAGCCAAACCCTGATTTGACCTTAATTTCTCAAACTCTGAGTCCTCTACTCTGCCGCCCTGTCTCTGCAGAGATCTGGAGCAGGCTGAGTAGGGTAGTGTCTGACAACCCAGGTGTGGAGCCAGTCAGCCTTCTCATTTGTGTCCCTGCTTCCTCCCCAGGTGGCAGATATGTTGTTGGAGCTTTGTGTGACCGAGTTGGAGGACGTAGCCACAGACTCGCAGAGCGGCCGTCTTTCTTCTCAGCCTGTCGTGGTGGAGAGTAGCCATCCCTATACTGATGACACTTCCACCAGTGGCACGGTGAAGATACCAGGTACTTGGGCCAGCCCTGAGGAAGGAGCAGCGGGGTTCTCTGCCTCCCATTCTGTTTTCTCTGCTTTGCGCTGTTAGCAGCTGCTGAGGCTTAGCACCTGAAGCCACTGGTCCACTGGGGCTACAAAGTGGTGCCATTCTAATTGAATCATTTCTTTCCTGCTTATTAGCTGGAATACTTTTTTATCAAAAACATTTCTCCTTATCCTCTAGTTGGTTACCCAAAGGGCTGTTTGCATAACAAAGTCGAGTAAAAGCTTGATTCTTTCCTTCGGTTGAACAGTTTTTCTAGTCCTTCTATTTACCAGAGTACAAATTGGTACCTTATCATCCTTCGAAGGTCACCTGTTATTGATTTTATTTTTTTCTTTTTAGGAAGAATGTAATGAAGGAATTGATTTTAAAATATCATTATGAACTCATGGACTGAAACATATACGATGGGCTTTAATCTATTGTGATTATTATCCTCATTAAAGGTCAAGTTATCTCATCTCTATAGACAGTGGCAGCCTCTTCAGTTTGGCTTCTGAAAAGATTCTGGTGGTCTGTTGGTAACTTCCACGCAGTCTGGTATGACAAGATATTCTAGGCTTTTCTTGTAGGTTTCTGCCCTCTATCTGGGATCTTCCTGGTTTCTTTTGAGTTCTTACTGACACTTTCAATTCCAATTCAGAAGTAGAAGGTTTCTAATTCTTCTGTTACATCTGCATCTCTTTTTTTCCAATACCAAATCCTGGTTCCATGACACAGGATATGATGGAATATCTCATAATTTTTCATTTGCTTTATCACACATTACATATGCAACAGACAGGAAATAATTGTAATACTGTTAATATCAATATTATTACTGAAAATGTTTAAAAAATTTTGGGCATATGCCTTCTTCATTCTTCCAAATTTATTAAAATGATCATACTGTATTTACCAGAGCATGGTAACTATTACATACTATACTTTCTTCCTTTTAATGTTCATTTAGTCTTCATCTTCCTACATTTAGTGCTCTCTCCCCATTCTTTTGTCTCTTTAGTCATTGTGGTGTCTGAAGTACACTCTAGTAAATTCCTCAGCAGTCCCTGAGATCAGACTTTTCCCTTTGAACTGGAAAGATAGCTTTTTTGGATATTAAATCCTCAGATCACATATTCTTCCTCTGTCAAAATATTATAATGATCATTTTTTTTCCTTTATAAGTCATATGCTTTTCTTCAGTAATTTTACTATCAATAGAATATGTATTCATGTTGGTCATTCTAAGTGATATTCTCAGATGAGGGGTGTGCTCCTTTAATAATGTAATTCAAAGTCTCTTCTTTCAGGGCATTTTCTTGAATTATAGTTTGTAGTATTCTTGCTTATTTCTCTTTTCCAGGGACATATGGTAATTACCCATGTGTTGGATAGCTGTTAGGTTTACTGTTGGCTATTTCCTCTCTCAAATGCTTTTACCTTTCTTTTTTTAAAACTTCTTCCTTTCTCCTATTTTTTGTAAGGTATCTCTTGTGTTTATTTGATTTTATACTCTATATTAGTCTTAATTTTGGAATTTTTTTTAGTTGTAACTTTTTCTTGATTTTTGTCATTTAATTTTTTTGTTTTCCTAATTCTGATGTGTTATTTTTTCATATTGTGTATCATTTTCCTAATTTCCTTTAATTTGTTTTGAAACGAATTTCCTTTAATTTGTTTTGATGTCTTTCATGGGTATATCTTTCTGGCCTGCTTTCATCGTCCATAGGGATGTTATTCTGTTCCTTATTCTTTTCTAGCAGTAACTTTATATTGAATTTGACCTTGACACTTTTATCTTGCTTATTTTTATGTGAAATTAGTTTTTTTAAACTTTTAGAATACGGTGAAATTCAGAAAAGCTTTTTTTTAACTTTAAGCTATTACTCTTTCATGATAGAAATTAACAAAACAAAAAGTATTTCATCTTACAGCCTCTTTCTCTGTTCTGTTCCTTTCTGACTTTATATCCAATTCACCAGCAAATCCTATTTTTTCTGCTTTTAAAATATATTCCAAATCCAACCATTTCTTACCAACTCCAGAACATTTGGTGCCAGACCACTGTCATGTCTCACTTGGTTTATTGCACTACCGTCTTGTTCTAGCTCCTGCCTGTGCTCCTTCTCTTGCTCCCACCACCTGCATCTTCCCAGTGCCAACCCCCCACACACCACACCCAGAGACCTCTTAAAACCAGTCAGAAGCTGTCAGTCCTCTGTATGAAACCACTCGTACATCCCTGTAACCCTGAAGTGGGAGCTAAGCATCCTTCCTTCTTCCTCCCCACCTCGCTTCTTTCCTGGCCCCATCACATTATCCTCTGCTAGTCCTTAAAAATGTTCCAGTCTAAAGGAAAACTCTTATTCCTCTGCTCACACACTTCTGACAACAAACATGTGGGTTTTCCATACCAAGCAATTCTCCTCTTCTTTGCGGACGCCAACTGGGTGTCCTACAATTAAATTTTGATGTAACTACCTGAGTTAGTGCAGACTTTAATGATCTAGGGCTCAGTCCCACAAGACTGCCCCCCACTTCAATGCCAATTGTAAATAAGGGGCCCCCAGGTTACCTATAAGTTCTGCCTGACTTGGCTACAATTGGGGGTTCTCACAGCCCCCCCTCGCCATGTTTGATAATTTAAAAAGCTTGGTCTGGGTACTAGGGTTGAACGGGAAAGTTTGCCCAGAGGCAAGAGCACCAAATGAATTGGCCAAGCAGAAGCGTCGTCTGGCTTTTTTGCAAAAGTCCATGGGTATAATCTCCTGTGGAGGTGGTGTGGGGGGAAAGGGGTAGTCAGTCTAAAGTTCTTGTTTTTGAGGCTGGTTCTTCTGACTTTCTGCATTTCATTAGTTGTTAACCATGGTTTTTAGTCTCACTGTTTCTCAGGGCTCTGGGCCTTTGGAGTGGTGGTTGAAGTGGTCACTGTGCTTTGTGCTCGTCTTCCAGGTGCAGAAGGACTCAGGGTGGAGTTTGACAGGCAGTGCTCCACGGAGAGGCGCCACGACCCTCTCACAGTCATGGATGGCGTCAACAGGATCGTCTCTGTGCGGTCAGGTGAGGAAGGGGGTTAAGCAGGACTTGGTCTGCCTGCCTTCTGCTCTGCAGACAGAGCCTTTGACATTTGGGGACAGAATGCTGTTGTTTCACTCTTATGGGAGCCTTAAGGAAGGGACAGTAGAAGTACAGTAGGTTTTGTTTGCCTCTTCCCCATACTTTAAATGAGATAATTATCCATGTGATGTGTACACCACACCAATGATGGGTGACTAGTGTAAGAGTAGGCCCTTGTTGGGACATGCCCAGCCTTGCCCAGACAGCTAGAGAAGGTGCTGCCGGGGACATGTGAAGTGCCAGGGCTGGTGCAGGGTGAAGGTTGACATACTACAGAGCTCCTTAAAGGGATTTGTTTTTCATGGAGTCCAGTGAGGACTTGGCCACATGTAGAGTGAGTCCTATATGTGTGGCAGGCAGAGCACTGAGGTGGGCAGGAAGCCTGGCATCCTGGCCTGTCTCTGCTCTGCCACTGTGCTCTGTGAGGCCAGCAGGGCATACCATTCATCTATGGGGCTTGTTCAGTGCTCTCTTACTGGGCATTTTAGAATTGCCAGTGTAGGGGTGCATGTGTGTGCCTTCTAAGCCCTCTTTATCTTCCTCTAGAGCAAGGGACAGCAAACTTTTTCTGCAAAGGGCCAAGTAGTAGACATTTGAGGCCTTGTGGGCCATGTGTGGCCTCTGTTATAACTAATGCGCAAACCAGACATCTGTGAATGGGTGTGGCTGTGTCCCAGTAACACTCACCTCACACAGTGTTACTTGTTTAAATCTCTGGTCTAAAGCTGTGTATAAAGTGGTGAGATGAGTTTTTCTGGCACCTTGACAAGTTTGTCATAATTTTCAGTAGTGTTGTTAGATGTGACAGTTTCTCTTCTAGCAGAAAACCCCTGCCAGCCATTCCTGCTGCCAGATGGTCCTTCTTGGTTATTTTTGGGTTTTTTTTTTTAATTAAAAAAATTTTTTTTGACCTCATTTGGAAATACAGATGGTCCTTCTAAAGCAGAAATCTGGTTGGGGTCTTTCTGGCTCTTCCAAGACACCTTAACACAGCGCTACTCCTCTCCATAGAAGCCAGGCCCTCTATGCTGTCCGGGCTGCTCCACTCCTCCCTAGAATGCAGGCTTTTCCTGGCCAGGCTGGACTGCACACATGGACCCTTTGTGGCGGAAGTTAGGGCTCCTTCTGTTGCCCAGCTCCTGGTTGTATCAGAGCTGGGTGTAGGCTGGCTGGCCCAGCAGGCCTCTCACTGAACCCTAGTTGTGTGTGTGATCATTTCCCATCATGTGGTGCCTTTTATCAGGGCAGTGCTCATCTGCCCTCAGTTTCCCTGGTATTTGGTATAGGAGTTGAGTGATTGGGTGTTGAAGAGTGTTATATATTGAAATGTGATTCCCAAGAGTGGTGTGTCACTGTGACACACAGTGGTGTGGCACTGTAAACTTTGGAGAATTTAGATTGGAGGAGCTTGTTGTTCTTCAGACGCAGCATGAATGATTTTGCTTTGTATATAATGTCTAAAGAAGTTTGTATTGATCAGATGATTGCGTGACCCTAACCCCAGGCTGTGCTTCTCTCTTCGAGGCCGAGAGTGGTCCGACTGGTCCAGCGAGCTGCGCATCCCTGGGGATGAATTAAAGTGGAAGTTCATCAGTGATGGGTCTGTGAATGGATGGGGCTGGCGCTTCACGGTCTATCCCATCATGCCAGCCGCAGGTAAGGAGGGTTCATGGCCATGAAGATTTGATGACCAGCTACAGATTGTTAGTGGAGCAACATGGACACTCATGTTTTTCATTTGGAAACTTATAGTCTGTCTGCTGTGTTGCACTCTGTCCTCATGGTTGCAGTTCTTAAGGCTTTTGATTTACAGTTGAAATGTCAATGTGAAGAGCATGGCTCATGCGACTCAGTGCCAACATCATACCTTTAACTGTTGCATTCCAAGTGGGCGGGGCTGCCACTTGTTGGATTTGTATGTGTCTTCTTATGGGGTAGTCCCCACCTTGTCAAACACAAGGATGTTCACAGTGCTCATTCACAGGTCCTAAAGACCTCCTTTCTGATCGCTGCGTCCTCTCCTGTCCGTCCATGGACTTGGTGACATGTCTGTTAGACTTCCGACTTAATCTCGCCTCCAACAGAAGCATCGTCCCTCGCCTGGCGGCCTCGCTGGCAGCTTGTGCACAGTTGAGTGCCTTAGGTAAATGGCGCTTTACAGTCCTGTCTATCTAACCAATTAGAAGAAATGGTCAGGCTTCTGATATTTTCTCTGTGCTCGTTTCAGCTGCCAGTCACAGAATGTGGGCTCTTCAAAGACTGAGGAAGCTGCTTACAACTGAATTTGGGCAATCAATTAACATAAATAGGCTGCTTGGAGAAAATGATGGGGAAACAAGAGCTTTGGTATGGAGCATTATAGTAAATTTCTAGACATGTGACCCTTTGGGAATAATATGTTGCTTTAACACTTAAGCCTCTAAATTGTCAAGAGGAGTTGGGTAATTTCACATAAATAGGGAGGGCTTTGTCACAGGCAGGCTTTTCCTTATATTGCTATGTATACTGGGCTCAAGCTGGACTTTGGTTTTTAAAAAATGCATGGGTAAATGGCTATGGACATAGGATGGTATGTATTGACCTTCACGGTGAGTCTGACTGACCACCTTTATCTTGTGGAGTAAGATAGTCACTTTTAATCCTGACCATACGAGGAGATGGGCAGGAGATCGAGAGAGACTATTTCCCTGAAAGTGGCTGTTTTAAAATTGAGACCAGAGATTCTGTGATGAATCTTCAAACTCCTCTTTTTATTTTAGTGTTCATGTTCTTTTACCTTTTTGCCTACTTGAGAATTTCAATAAACATTTTTTTTTTTTTTTTTTGAGACAGAGTCTCACTTTGTTGTCCAGGCTAGAGTGAGTGCCGTGGCGTCAGCCTAGCTCACAGCAACCTCAAACTCCTGGGCTCAAGCGATCCTCCTGCCTCAGCCTCCCGAGTAGCTGGGACTACAGGCATGCGCCACCATGCCTGGCTAATTTTTTTTTTATATATATATATCAGTTGGCCAATTAATTTCTTTCTATTTATAGTAGAGACGGGGTCTCGCTCTTGCTCAGGCTGGTTTTGAACTCCTGACCTTGAGCAATCCGCCCGCCTCGGCCTCCCAAGAGCTAGGATTACAGGCGTGAGCCACAGCGCCCGGCCAATAAACATTTTTTTAAGAGGGAATAGTACCAACATAATAAAACATTTGACTCAGAAACAAAACAGTCACCCTCTCCTGCATTTTGGATTCCTGCAATAGATTATTATTTTATTTTCTTAGAGTTTTACAGGCAGTGCTCTTGCTGCTTTGGTGAAAGGCCTTCCAGAAGCTTTGCAAAGGCAGTTTGAGTATGAAGATCCTATTGTGAGAGGTGGCAAACAGCTGCTCCACAGTCCATTCTTTAAGGTAATATTTGACTTATTTTTTAAAATGATGGTAGCGCCATTTGGCTGAGAAAGCCCCTGAGAGCTGTTGTGTGCAGTGTGCCATGTTGTAGGCCTCTTTGAGGGCAGCTGTAGGTATTGCTGAAGTTGAGTATGAAAACTCTCAAGTAATGATTGTGTGATGTAAGTGCTTATACCTTAAACCTTTACCTAAGCATTAGCACGTTTTGAGATTCACGGGTCGTCTCTGCAGTCGATGCAGGCAGCAAGTGCTGTGGCACTTGTTGGATCTGAGTACTGGGTGGATCCCTAGGAACTGTTAGGGATCCCTGCATTGCAGGCGGTGGTGAAATACTTGCTGGGCCATGGCAGGTAGCCTGGAATAAGGAGTGGGACAGTGGCCAGTGGCAATTGGCTCATCTTTAACACACATGTTGGCAAAGTGGAATGTTCACTGCATTTCTAAACATCCCCATGTTTTTAATTTTTGGTGGCTTTAGGTGCTAGTAGCTCTTGCTTGTGACCTGGAACTAGACACTCTCCCTTGCTGTGCGGAGACGCACAAGTGGGCTTGGTTCCGGAGATACTGCATGGCCTCCCGAGTTGCTGTGGCCCTGGACAAAAGAACACCATTGCCCCGTCTGTTTCTTGATGAGGTATTGTGCGTTATTTTGGAATCTCTTTTGGAATGCAGAGGCATTTTCTTTAGCTATAGTGTAAAAAGAGACCAGTATTATGAGACAGAAAAATGTCTCTTGGTGAGAAATACCATAAAGAAAATAGCACATAGGTAAAAATAAACTGACACCGTGAATTTCAGTTGAGGTTCATTTTTAGTAAAGTAAATTAAAGATAGAATGATACTGTCTAGACACTGTTAATATCATAGACTTGATGTAATCATTGGTATTGCTTATTTACCTTAAAATTGCAATGTTCATATTTCTTCATATTCCCAGGCAGGGATTCCTCCTGTTTTCTTACCTTACTATTTATTTGTTTTATTCTTGAGATGAGTGTATGACTTATAATCTCATAATAATAATGTTGTCTAGGTGGCTAAGAAAATACGTGAATTAATGGCAGACAGCGAAAATATGGATGTTCTCCACGAGAGCCATGACATTTTTAAAAGAGAGCAAGATGAACAACTCGTGCAGTGGATGAACAGGTTATTATATCAGAAACAAGAAATAATGTGATATGTGAGAGAAAGAGGTCACAAGTGCTATTCTTTCCCGTGTCAAATGATCCTTTAATGTTTGTTGCAGGCGGCCAGATGACTGGACTCTTTCTGCTGGTGGCAGTGGAACGATTTATGGATGGGGACATAATCATCGGGGGCAGCTTGGGGGCATCGAAGGTGCAAAAGTCAAAGTTCCCACTCCATGTGAAGCCCTTGCAACACTTAGACCAGTGCAGTTAATTGGAGGAGAACAGACTCTCTTTGCTGTGACGGCTGATGGGAAGGTAAGGGTGCATTTTGGTGTCACACTGTCTTTAAGACTGAGGCAGTGTGGCTAGGTGTGTTGTATGGGTCTTGGCACCTATGAGGTTGAATCTGTGCTAAAATCTTATCTCAAGATTAGTAGTAATTATGGTATGCTAGAAGCAGTTAGAGTTGTAAAATATTTTTGTATGATCTTCAGATGCGTTCTATAACTTTACATTTTTTTATTTTGAAATACATCACATATAAAATTATTAAAATTTTTGTTTGCATATCATTTGTTAGATGTATTCCTTTCTTGTTTGCTTTTTGTAAATGCTGTCTTTTAAAAAGTCAATTGCTGCTGATGTGTAGAAATATTTGATGTTTCTATGTTGACTTTATATCTGGTGACCCTACTCTTTTTTTCCTGACATATCTGAAGATTTTTGGTATCTTTATAGAGAGCTATAATCTATAAGTGAATTTTGTTCCTTCTTTTCCAGTTTACCTCTTCTGTTTTCTTCCTTTTGTGTGGGTTAACGGGAGCAAATTGTGCTGCATGGGTGTTGTAGTGTCAGAGTGGGTGGGAGTGAGGGTAGTGGGTGTGCTCCTCTCTGGATCCACACTGGGGCAAGCACTGATGGAACGTTTCACATGCTCACTGGGGGGTTGATAGAAGCCGTTTATCAGGTTAAGGACATTTCCTTCTGTTTCTATTCATGAATGGGTGCTGATTTTTGTTAAATACTGTATTTTTTGGAATGTTCTTTTATAGATGTTTTCTTCTTTAGTGGAGTAATATAGTGAATTGGATTCATTGGTTTTCTCATATTAAACAAGTTTGCATTCTTTGGAAAAATCCAATGTGGTCAGGGTATGTTTTATATATTTTTAGTTTATGTTTGCAATTATTTTGTTTAGATTTTGGGAGACCCAAGTTCATGAGGGAGACACCATCATGTAATATTTCTGTCTTACATACTCTTTGTCTCATTTTGATACGGAATTAGCTACTGTTTAACTTGAGATAATATACACTTATCATCTCAGTTTCTCTGGGTCAGGACCTCTGGAGGTGGCTATATAGGTCAGTCTTCCAGCTCAGAATGATCTCTTATTGGGTTACAGTTGTCTTGAGGCCATATGAGGAAGGATTCAGTTCCTTATGGACTGTTGGACTGAGGCTTCAGGCCCTCATGAACTGTTGCAAAGGCTGTCCCTGCTCAGTTCTTTGCCGTGTGCCCACAGGGCATCTCACAGCCTGGCAGCTGGCAGCATTAGTGAGATAAGGGAGGGGCAGGAGGGAGCAACAGAGAGATGGAGTAGCCAGACGGTGGAAGCTGTGGTCCTGTGTAACTGAATCACAAAAGTGACGCTTCATCACTCTGTCCAGCCCACATTCTAGGAAGGGGATTAGAGGCCTACCTTAGGGTTTGGTTCCAGAATACTGCAAGAAAGTGAATATCACAATAAAGCAAGTCACATGAATCTTTTGGTTTCCAAGTACATAGAAAAGTTATGTACCATGCTATAGTCAATATTATATTAAGTGTGCAATAGCATTACATCTAAAAAAAACAATATATATACCTTAATTAAAAATTACTTTGTTGCTAAAAAATGCTAATAATCATCTGAGCCTTCAGAGTTATAATCTTTTTGCTGGTGGTGGGTCTTACCTCGACATTGATGGCTGTTGACTGATCAGGTTGGTGGCTACTGAAGGTTAGGGTAGCTGTGGCAATTTCTTAAAATACGACAACAATGAAGTTAGCCACATAGATTTGACTCTTCCTTTCACAAAAGATTTCTCTGTAGCATGCGATGCTCAATTTGATAGGCTTTTACCCATAGCAGAACTTCTTTCAGAATTGGGAGTCAGTCCTCTCAAACCTTGCTGCTTCTTGCTCAACTAAGTTTATATAATATTCTAAATCCTTTGTTGTCATTTCAACAGTGTTCTCAGTGTCTTCACTGGGAAGGAGTAGATTCCATCTTAAGAAACCACTTTTTTTGCTCATCCATAAGAAACAACTCATTTGTTCATTATGAGATTGTAACAATTCAGACGCACCTTCAGGCTCCACATCTAAATCTATTCATAGTTTTCTTGCTCTTTTTTTTTTTTTTTTTTTTTTTACCACATTTGCAGTGACTTCCACTGAAGTCTTTTGAACCCCTCAAAATCGTCCATGAGGGTGGAATCAACTTCTTCCAAACTCTTGTTAATGGGGATATTTTGACCTGTGAATCATCTTTGCTCACCATTATTTCTTACATCTCAGACCTGTATCTGCAATCATTTTCCTTCTACTTTGAGCATATCTTTTTCACTTTCCTTTTGTGAGGTTCTTTTGTTGGTTAATTCTCCAATTATTTTTGTTGGTTTCTTTGAAAATATCTTTATTTTGCCTTTTTTCTGGGGTAGGGGTTGACAAACATTTTCTGTAAAGGATGCGATAGTATTTTTGGCTTTATGAGCCATTTTGTTTCTTTTGCAACTACAAAGCAGCTATGGCCGTAATGTAAATGAGTTGGGTGTGCTGTGTTCCAATAAAACTTTATTAAAAAAAAACAGGTGCTGGGCCCAGTTTGGCCTGTGGGTTGTTATTTACCAACTCCTGTTCAGAGTATAAAATTTTCAGTTGATAATTATTTTCAGTCAGCCTATAAAACGTTTTATTCTTATGGTTTCTGGCTTTCATTATCTAATGGGGATACTAATAGGATGTTAGCAGTCGGACTAACTTCTACCCCAATAAAGATGTTAAATCTTTAGCTGCTTTTAAGATCAGTTTTTGGTGACAGTTTCACTGTGGTACATTTAGATGTCAATTTCTCTTAACTTTTCTTGCCTTTTTAGTTTATTTTTTGTTTTGTTTTGTTTTGTTTGCCAGGAGGTGAGGGATTGAAGAGTGGGATGGGGTCCAGGCTTTGAGAATTGGTCTTTTGTTAATTGTGGTAAATTTCTAGACATTTTTTTTTCTATTATTTCTTTTTTTTCTTTATTTCGGCATATTTCTATTATTTCTTCTTCCATATTTTCTGTATGATCTCTACTTAAAACTCGGATGCTGGAGTGAGAAACTCTTTCCTTTGTATCTCTTAATCCTTCTTTCATATTTCCTCTTTTTTTCTGTGCCATATACTAGATAATTCCTTCAGATCAGTCTTCCAGTTCTCTATTTTCTGTTCACTTGTGTATAATTTGCTGTGTTTATTAATACATCTGAATTTTGAATTTCAATTTTTTTAATTTCTAGAAATTCTGCTTTTGGTGATTTTATAATCTTATTTCTTGGTCATACTTGCAAGCTTTGTTTTCTTTAAACATAATAGTAGACTATTAGTCTGTTAGCTCTTACTCATGGTGCCTTCTTTCTTTTTATATGATGTGAATTTTTAAAACTATAAGCTGACCATTTGCCTTAGAAAATTTTGTATAGAAATTCTTTGGGGCCTAGTTTTTGTGAGTTTTTGTTTTGTTTTTGAGACAGAGTCTTGCTCTATTGCCCCGGCTAGAGTGCAGTGGTGTCATTGTAGCTCACAGCAACCTCAAACTCCTGGGCTCAAGTGATCCTCCCTGCCTCAGCCTCTCAAGTAGCTGGGACTGCAGGCACGTGCTACTACAGTCATGCTAACTTTTCTATTTTTAGTAGAGATGGGATCTCACTCTTGTTCAGGCTAGTCTTGAACTTCTTAGCTTAAGCAATCCTCCTGCCTTGGCCTCCCAAAGTGTTAGGATTACAGGTGTGAGCCACCACACCTGGCCTGAGACCTGGTTTGAAATCACTTATCTAAAGAGAATTTATAAACTTGAGACATGACCAACCTAAGGATTTTTGTCCATAAGTAGCATAAATTCAGAGTGAAAACCAACTTGAGGGTTAGCTTTTGTAGTTATAGATTCTCAGAGGAGAGTCTCCCTCTCATTGCTAAGATTGAGAAAGGCCTCTTTGTTGTTCTTCTCATTTATAGTCACTCAGAGGGGACTATCCTTTGGAGCCTTACCTTGCTACAGGGAGTCTCCTTTGAGGATTGGCACCTTAACCCCACCCTGTGAGCTGGAGATCTTCAACACCCTTCCAGAAGAAGCTGGCTTAGGGGCCTGTTTATCCACCTGAGTTTTGGTTTCACTTTCTGTTTAAGCCCTTGTGGTTTCCTTACTATTGTGTCAGTAAAGCAACATGTTTATAAATGTTTAAAACAATATGAAACACCACAATAAGTTTTTATCAGGAGAGATGTTTGCCTTGTATTTAGAAATGGCAGCCTGACCTTTTTTCTTTTTAAATCAATGATAAGATACTTTTATATCCCCAAACAATTACCTACTTAAAGTTTTTTAAAAAATGTTTTCTGCTGTGTGATTTATATGCTGCATTGCTGAAATATGAAAATATATTTATAATTTTTCTATGGGTATGTTTTTGTGGGTATTGTCAGAGATTTACATATAGTAGATAAGTTTTTTTGTTTTTCTTGGTATTAATTGTAGTTGATACTCTAGACAAAAACGGAGATGCTTTCAGACAGAAGACCTTATTTTGAAAATACATTTTGTGAATTTTGGATTTCTAGTAATAAGTTTTTCTTTCATTTTCAGAGCTTTGATATGGCATGTATAAAGTCTTAAGCATTCCTGTGATTTTTAATTTTAAATTTCATTTCTCTGTGGTAAAAATGTCTAGAGCACTGATTTGGTTTATTAATTGCTAAATACAGGGGCTATTTAGATACAAACCTGATGTTGCTATTGCTTTTTTTGTCTTAGCTGTATGCCACTGGGTATGGTGCAGGTGGCAGACTAGGAATTGGAGGGACAGAGTCGGTATCTACCCCAACATTGCTTGAATCCATTCAGCATGTGTTTATTAAGAAAGTAGCTGTGAACTCAGGAGGAAAACACTGCCTTGCCCTCTCTTCAGAAGGAGAAGTTTACTCTTGGGGTGAGGCAGAAGATGGGAAGTTGGGGCATGGCAACAGAAGGTATTATGTGAAAACATCATTTTCAATGTTATGTTTTCCTTTGCTTTTGTTTGTTTGTTTTAATGCTGGTACAGTGTATTGGCACTTTGCTTTTCAGAACAATATTTACAGTAATCTCAAAGAATGTTAATTACTCATTTGGCAGAAATAGTTTCATGTGCCAATATGTGGGCTTATACCTATATGACTCCTCTCTTGGGAGGAAAAAATCAATTCTAAGTTTTGATTTACAAGTATGAAGCTTCTTTTTGTCTTTCTCCCCCACATCATCACTGAATCACATTTGATATTTTCTGTAACATGCATGATACTAAAACTGTAAATACAGAGGAAATGGCAGGAATGAGGAGAAAATGACACACAGTGACAGCATTCTTTAAAGAAAGGAAACAAACCCACTAGTTTTTAAAAATTAATAGGAATTACCAGCCAAGTTTGAGTAACAGGGACCTCCTTATCCTAGAAATAACTAAAGCACCAGACAAAATATATGAAATAAGAGCCCTAAAGACATTGGTTATCAGGCAACAAAGTACAGCGTTCCCTGAGAAATGGGAAACAAGGCGAGTATGCTGCCTGCAGGGATCCCATTTTAAATATAGACATAAGAATGGGCTAAAAGCAAAAGGATGGGGAAATAGATACCATGCCAATACTAACCAAAAGAAAGTTAGAATGCCTGTATTAATGTCATACTAAATAGATTTTATAGCAAAGAATACTGACAGGGATAAAAAGGATAGTTTCATAATGATGAAGCAGTCAATTAATAACCCTAAACATTTACATACTTAATAATAGACCTTCCAGATACATGACACTAAAAAGTGATAGAACTGTAAGGAGAAGTAGACAAATCCACAATTATAGTTGGAGATTTTAATGCCCCTTCCTCAATAATTGATAGAACAAGTAGATAAAAAATCTGTAAGGGAGAGAAGATTTGAAGAACTGTATCAACTAACTTGGCATAATTGACATTTTCAGAACACTCTACTAGACAAATAAATAGTACATTCTTTTCAAGTACACCTGGAACATCTACCAATATAGACCATGAATTGGAACATGAAACAAATCTTATACACTGAAATGATTCAAGTTATACAAAATACGTTCTCTGTCCACAATGGAATTAAGTTAGAAATCAATAACAAACAGGTCTCTGGAAAATCTCGCCAATATTTGTAAAGTAAGACATTTCTAAATAACTGATAGGTCAAAGAATGAATCAGAAGGTAAATTAGAAATAATTTGGAATAGTGAGAATGCAAACAACCTATCAATATCAAAATGTAGGGTACAGAAAAAGCAGTACTTAGAAGGAAATTTATAGCATGAAATGTTTTTGATTTTGTTTTTGGAGACAGGGTCTTTTTTTTTTACAGAGTCTCGCTTTGTTGCCCAGGCTAGAGTGAGTGCCATGGCGTCAGCCTAGCTCACAGCAACCTCAAACTCCTGGGCTCAAGGGATCCTCCTGCCTCAGCCTCCCAAGTAGCTGGGACTACAGGCATGCGCCACCATGCCCGGCTAGTTTGTTCTATATATATTAGTTGGCCAATTAATTTCTTTCTATTTATAGTAGAGACGGGGTCTCGCTCTTGCTCAGGCTGGTCTCGAACTCCTGACTTCGAGCAGTCTGCCCACCTCAGCCTCCCAGAGTGCTAGGATTACAGGCGTGAGCCACCGCGCCCGGCCTGGAGACAGGGTCTTGCTTAACTGTTGCCTGGTCATGAAGGCAGTTGCATGATCATAGCTTACTGCAACTTCAAACCCCTGGGCTCAAGTTATCCTGCCCCAGCCTTCCCAGTAGCCTGGAACTACAGGTACATACCACCACACCCACCTAAGTTTTCTATTTTTTTGTAGAGATGGGATTTCACTATGTTGCTCAGGCTGCTCTCAAACTCCTGGCCTCAAGCAATCTTCCTGCCTTGGTCTCCTAAAGTGCTAGGATTAACAGGCATGAGCCACCAAACCCAGCTGAAAAGCATATTTTAAAAAAGAAAATTGGTCTCAAAACCATAACATTAGTGTCCATCTTAAGAAACTACACTAGAAAGGATAAATACAACCCAAAGTAAGCAGAAGAAAGAGAATAAAAAAGATCAGAGCAGGAATCCATAACATAGAAAAGAGAACAACAATAGAGAAAACTAAAGGAAACAAAAATTGGTTCTTTGAGAAGGTCAGTGTAATCAATAAAACCTCTATCAAGACTGATTATAAAAAAAGGAGATTCCAAGTTATAGGAATATTACGAATGGGGGATTTTTCATCACCTCAGAGTATAATAATGAAATATAATGAGCAACTTTATGCCAACAAATTTTACTTTTTAGATGAAATAGACAAATTCCTCAGAAGATATATATTCTTTTCAAAGCTCACTAAAGAAGAAATAGCTCACCTAGGTGAATAGCCATGTGTCTAAGAAGTTAAATTTCCTGCAAACAAACCTCTACGACATATGATTGGTGATTTCTAACAGACATGTAAACTAATAGATGATACCAGTTCTTCACAAACTTTTTCAGAAAACTGAAGAGGAGGGAATTCTTGTCAACTCATTTTTTGATGATAGCTTTACTGTTATATCAAAACCAGACTCCGATATTATTAGAGAAATACAAGCCAATATTCCTAATGAACATAGATGTAAAAATTCTTAATGTTTTAGTAAATTGAATCCAGCAACATATAAAAGGATAATACAGTGTCGCCAAGTGGGATATTTATGCCAGAAATTACAGGTTTGGTCTAACATTAGAAAGTGAATCAATGTAAAAAAGAAAACCATATGATCATCTTGGTAGATGAAGAAGGAAGAAAGCAATTGGCAAATTCCAATATCCATTTCTGATAAAAACTTTTAGTAGTCTAGGAATAAAAGATCACTTCTTTAACCTGGTAAAGGGCATCTATGTTAATCCTAGAGTTTACATCATGCTTAATTGTGACAGACTGAAAGCTTTCCCGCTTAAGTTCAGGATCAAGATAACGATGTCTGCTATCAACACTTTTATTCAATATTGGGTTGCAGGTTTAGCAAGTACACTACAGCAATACAAAGAAATAAAAGGCATCCAAATTGGAAAGAGAATTAAAGCCATCTTTACTTGCAGATAACATGATTTATGTAGAGAATCTGCTGGTATCTACAAAAAAGCTACTGGAACTAGTAAGTGAGGTTAGCAGTGTTTCAGGATAGAAGATCAATAAATAAATCATCTGTCTATATACATATACATATATGTAATCAGAAAGTGAAATTTTAAAATACTATTTACAATACTCTCTTCCCAAAATTGAAATACTAAGGGATAAATCTGACCAAAAACTGTGGATGACCTACTTGTAGACAGAAAACAGAGACTTTTTAAAAGATCTAAAATCATGGAGGGGCATACTGTGTTCATGGATTGGAAGATTCAGTATTGTTAATTTGTCAGTTATCCCCAAATTAATCTAGATTCAAAACTTTCCCAATCAAGATTTCTATAGAAATTGACAGGCTTATTATAAAATTCATATGAAAATGCAGACTTTGAAAATGAAGAACAAAGTTGGAAAATGTGTACTACCTGACTTCTAGCCTCATTTTGGAACTGCGTAATGAAGACAGTATAGTGTTGGCATCAAGAGAGATTCATCAATGGAGCAGAATAGGGAGTCCAGGAATAGACTCATAGATAGTGACAATGAGTGTGGAAAAAGGGAAACTATTTCCAAGTTTCAATGCACAATTTATAAAAATGCAAGGGCAAGCCGGGCGCGGTGGCTCACGCCTGTAATCCTAGCACTCTGGGAGGCTGAGGCGGGCAGATTGCTCAAGGTCAGGAGTTCAAAACCAGCCTGAGCGAGACCCCGTCTCTACCATAAAAATAGAAAGAAATTAATTGGCCAACTAATATATATAATATAAAAATCAGCCGGGCATGGTGGCTCGTGCCTGTAGTCCCAGCTACTCGGGAGGCTGAGGCAGGAGGATCGCTTGAGCCCAGGAGTTTGAGGTTGCTGTGAGCTAGGCTGATGCCACGGCACTCACTCTAGCCTAGGCAAGAAAGTGAGACTCTGTCTCAAAAAAAAAAAAAAAAATGCAAGGGCAATTCATTGGAGAAGAATTTTGTCAACAAATGGTTTTGAGTAATTGGATAACCTTATAGTAAGAAATGAACTTAAATTCATACCTTGACCCATATCCAAACATTAATTCAAAATGAATCATAGCCATAAATGTAAAACCTAAAACTAAAAACTTCTGGAACAAAACATGAGAAAAGTTTTGTCACCTTAGGTTAGACAGAGATTTTTAGATAGAACTCCAAAAACATGAACCATTAAAGAAAAATATGATAAATTGGACTTCCTAAAAAGTATGAATGTTCTTTGACAAACACTATGAAGACATTGAGAAGACGTACCACAGACCGGGGAAGAATACTCACAATCACATGATCTGACTAAAGTCTGATATCCAAAATATATAAAGAGCTTTCAAAACTAAATAATAAGAAAGCAAACAAGTTTGTCATCAGTGCTTGTCACATTGTAGGGTAGTGACATTCATATGTTAAAACTTCTTAAGTGAATTGTTGACTTATGGGGGAGCAGGCAGACTATTTCTATAAAGGACTGTATAGAAAATATTTTAGGAATTACATATGATTTGATTCTTTGGACTTTTTTTTTAACAACCCTTTAAAAATGTAAAACCCATTATCAGCTCATAGGCCTTTGTAAAACTGGCCATGCTTTGGACTTGGCCCAATGTGGGTGGTAGTTTTCCAGCTCCTGATTTAGAGCTGTGAAAGCCTTACTCTCTGGCATCTGGGTACATGGTGTAAAGAGAGATAGGTAGAAATTGCTGGACTTATTAGTTTAAGTCTGAGTGAGTCTTCTTGATTGATTTAACAATTAATTGATTGGGAGGATATAGATTGAGAGGTATATGTTGAATAAATGAGCAGCAAACAAATACCTAATTATTTAATAAGTTTAAGAATATTTAAGAATCAAAATGTATTTCAGTTATATTTAGTGACTTTTTTTGCAGTCCATGTGACCGCCCTCGCGTCATCGAGTCTCTGAGAGGAATTGAAGTGGTTGACATTGCTGCTGGTGGAGCCCACAGTGCCTGCGTCACAGCAGCTGGGGACCTGTACACATGGGGCAAGGGCCGGTATGGCCGCCTGGGGCACAGCGACAGTGAGGACCAGTTAAAGCCAAAGCTGGTGAGAAGGCGCCGTGTTTGGAGGCCCCAGAGGCTGCTCACCCCTTACTGTTGAAGTGGGATGTGGCAGTTTGCCATTGTGATTACAATTTTAAAAAGTTGAAGTATTTCCTGTTTTAGATCCTTCTTAGTTTTAGAGTTGATGGTCATAACCTCAGTAGTTATAAGCAGGTTTTCTTTTTGCTAGAAATAAAAACCATCTTCATACATACACCTTCCGTGAGTCATTTAAACAGGATAGTATTTGAAACATCCCTTTTATTTATAATGGTAAATATTGCTTAACATCTAGTGAAATGCTTTGGCTCCCAGAAGGTCCACCATGTTTTGGGTGATGCAAAGTAATGAATAAACAGCCTTCATGGTGGCGTAGGATTGGCTCTTTAGAGACGCTGATACCTGCTTCCTGCAGTTTAGATGTGTGTAGTTCAAATAGAGGAAGGTGTTTTGTCTCAGTGGATTTTTAAAATTAGCTCTTATTTATAAGGGCTTGAAACAGGCACCCCCATAAAAGAAGAACGATTGTAAAGCTGCTCCTTGGGTATGCCTCCTTTGTGTTGCACTCAGCTGACCCGTGTTCCTTTCTCCGAAGGTGGAGGCGCTGCAGGGCCACCGTGTGGTTGACATTGCCTGTGGCAGTGGTGACGCCCAGACCCTCTGCCTCACAGATGATGACACCGTCTGGTCCTGGGGAGATGGGGACTACGGCAAGTTGGGCAGAGGAGGCAGTGATGGTTGCAAAGTGCCAATGAAGGTATTTCCTATTTGCACCTTGTCCGTTGCTCTCCCAGATTGGTTGTCAGGTTGCCCCAGGTGCTGGGCCCTGAGGGTGCCTGGTGGGCCCTCAGAACCACTGTTACTGTCCCTCTCTGTGCGCTTCTCAGAAGCATTTTAACCTCATCTCTACCTTCTTTCTAGAAAATATAATAGGTAATTGAGTAAAAAAGTAAGTGAAGGGCCCAAAGACATTAAGATAATCTAAGTGCTGTTGTGCTGTCCTGGGAGATGCGTGTGATGGACAGAGCACCGCAGAGCTGCAGCTTTATTTAGCGTGTAGACCTCTTTTAGGAAGAGGATAACACACTGTTCACACCTTTTTCAGTTTATAGAGGTACGCAGATGCCACGTCACAAGCTATGGGATGTAGCAGGGCTTGCTGAAAGGTTTGTGTGTGGGTCGGCCGGAGGCTGCCTTGGGTGGGCATCCTGAGAGGAGCTGGGAAGGGGCTGCGTGGCTCCCTGACTCCGGCAGGCCTTCAGGGGGGTCGGTTCTTTGCTCTGCATGAGTGGAGGGACTCTGGGAAGTTTCTGAACTTTGCCAGACTGTCTTTTGCCATTGTAAATGGGTGTTTGGTAGAGGTTAGGTGAATCAGTGTGTTTAGACCTCGTACTTAGAGCTCAGTGGCCTGTACTGCAGGGTCGCTGCAGTGTTGTGCAGCTGAGGTGCTCTGCCATGGACTTGGGAGCCGGGGTGCTGTGAAAGGAAACTAGAACTCGTCTCTGCTTGGCGTCTTCTCTTGTTGGGCTCTGGGATTGCAGGTGTGGAATAAAGAGCTGCGTGTTGCGCTGGCACACCTGGGGCTGACTCTGACCCCCAAAAGCTCCTTAGATGGGGAAAGAGCCTGGGCCCAGTCATGCATCTTTCTTCCTGGAGCTGTGTTGCCCATTACTACAGCTGTTGGCCACATATGGGCTGGAGGGGAAGACGTCCCCTGGAGGACTCACTGCATCTCCTTGTGCCTGCAGCTGTGGCCTCCTCCTTGTATTTTAAACATGTTATAGGTTACAAAGGGTTCCTTTCCATGTTTATGAAAAATGATATGCTGTGGATTTTCTTAAGCTAAGGAAGGCTTTATACAAAGGCTTTGCACCTTCGAGGAGTAGGATGCTGGGTGTTGGGAGGGGCTGCAGCAGCACATCACTGATGCCATTGTGGTAGGGCCGGGGCCAGCCCTACCACATGAAGACAACTCATAAAGAGAATGAATTATTAGTTAATTAAGTTTCAAATTGAACATGAGAACTTAATCATGAGAACAGTCACAGTGTCAGTAAGGAATAGGATTTTGTAAGTGAGCCCAGGAGGACCCCGGGTGCTGGATGTGCAGGGCCTGGACCCAAATGTACAGGGTGGAGGTGGGTTACAGGACTGGCACAACGAGGGCACGCGAGATTAGATCATCTGGATGACGGGCAGGGCCATTGTTCCTGGACATCCCTCCCCTGCTACCTGCTGCTCCTTCCCTACAGGCCTCAGGCCTGAAAGGGGGCTGGGGTAGGGGAGGGGTGGCCCAGGGGTTGCTGGAGATTGGAGCCACTGTGCAGAGAGAGAAAATTGGGAGAGTCCATTCTGGGCGAAAGGCTTTCAGACCTCACCTGCACAGCACCCCATTTCCAGTACCATGTGCTGGGTCCCACCATGCCATGGCGTATCAGCAGCTGTGCCCACAGTCATGGTCCTGCTTGCCTCCTGGGAGTGCTGAGATTAAGTGGAATGTCATTTTAAGTTGTGCTAACTATTCAACATGGGTGTGGGTTTCAGAATTCTTATTAAATCTCAGTCTGCAGTGCCTTGATGGAGTCCGTCTAACTGAACCTTTTCCCCTTCTAGATTGATTCTCTTACAGGCCTGGGAGTGGTTAAAGTGGAATGCGGATCCCAGTTTTCAGTGGCTCTTACTAAATCTGGAGCTGTTTATACATGGTATGCAAGATTCTGTTTGTTTAATCCCATCAAAACCAGATTTTTAATTGGAGTTATGTAATTGCCTATTCATAGATACGAACATAGCTTCCATAATAGGCTGCAGTTGCATCCTGAAGAAAGAGGGGTGGGAAGGGTGTTAAATGAGATGACCTTACCTTGAAGCTCTACCTTTCCTTTGTGTGCAGGGGCAAGGGTGATTATCACAGGCTGGGCCATGGATCTGATGACCATGTTCGAAGACCTCGGCAGGTTCAAGGGCTGCAGGGGAAGAAAGTCATCGCCATTGCCACTGGCTCCCTGCACTGCGTGTGCTGCACAGAGGATGGTAGGTGGTGGTGGTGGGCAGGGGGCTCATGCTGTGGGACCAAGGCCTGGGACTCTAAGAGGGCTGCTCAAGGATAACATGTGCAGCTGTAAAAAGGGGTGAGGTGCTGGGGCTTAGGCTGTGTCCTGAGAGTTCATCTGCAGTCGGTAGGGTATTGGCCTTGTCTTCAGCCCCTGCTGTTACACTTGTGAGTATGTTTTATTATGGAACTGTGTGCAGAACAGAGCTGATAGCTGACCTGAGACGTGTCCTCAGACAGGCCAGCTGTAGGGTTGGCCCTCGGCGAGCGTCTGGGAACCTGGGTTTCAGAAGGGCTCCTCTGATCCCTAGGTGATAAGTGTGGCCTGCTGTGGCTGATCTGTCTGTACAAACAGCATGGTCTATGAAACCTGCTTTCTTATGGGGTCTGGAATTTGGTACCTGCCAGGCAGAGAGTGGCAATGTAATCAGCCCCAGTGAAAACCCTGGGCATTGAGTCTCTAACCAGCTTCCCTGGTATACAGCACTTCACGGGTGTTGCCACAGCTTGGTGCTGGGGAATTAAGTGTGTCCTGTGTGATTCCACTGGGAGGACTCTGGAAGCTGGAGCCTGGTTTCCCCCAGACTTCACCCCAGGTTCTCTTTCCCTGTGCTGGTTTTGTTTTCTGTCCTTTTGCTGTAATAAATCGTAGCTGTGAGTGTGAGTGTATGCTGAGTCCTGTGAGTCCCCCTTAGTGGATCACAGAGCCTGGGGTGATCTTGGGGACCCTGATGTTTGTTACTATTTGATATAGTTGAGTCTCAGATACTTGAGTTACTAATAATATTTTCATAGATTACCTCTCATTTGTATTTTCTTTTACTTCTTTATTGTGGTAAATATATATTACATAAAATTTACTATTATAACCATTTTTAACAGCCTGGGGATAGTCTTGGGGACTCTGACACAATGGCGAAAGGGATGTAGAGATGGAATTAAGGTTGCTAGTCAGCTGACTTTACGATGTGGACATTATTCTGGATTACTGGATGTGCTCAGTGTAATCACACAGATCCTTCACTCAGAAAAGAAGGGCAGAGGAATCAGTCAGAGATGTGACTGAGGAGGCCATGGGAGAGATTTTCAAAGTGTGAGAGGCTCTCTGCTCTCTACCACTGGCTTTCAAGATGGCATGGAGCCAAGGCACGGGGTGGCCTCTGGAAGCTGGGAATAGCTGATAGCCAGCAAGGAAGCTGGACCTAAGTCCTGCAAAGAAATGAATCCTGCCAGTGGCCTAATGAGCAAGGAAACTCTCCCCTGGGGCCCCCAGGAAGTGAGACCCATGTTGGAGTTCAGACCCAACTGAAAGATAATAAATGTATGTACCGTCTTGCATTAAAACATCCATTCCCAAGATTTTGCTCCATTTTGAAGCCTTTGGAAAATTATATAAACCTGTACCCTTTAATCATTCATTGATGAGAGTTTCATGTATGAATAAGGAACTTTTATGGCCTGTGATGGAAAGACATTGTAGTTCTTGATCAAGAATTTACAACACTTTTTATTTGGTTAATATTCTTTTAATTTTTGAAGCAAATCACAGTTGGAAGTACATTACAAGACCTTTATCTGATCCATGTGAGTTAGTTGCTATCCTGATGCCCATACCCTGAATAGTAGAGTATATTTCTACAAACAGGGACACTGCTGCAGGATGACAACAATTCACACTCATCCTTACTCCCATTCACAGTGCACCACACAGTTCACAGTTAGCTGTCACCTTCTCATCTCCTCTATCCAGTCACACTTCCTCAGTCTTTCCTGGGTGTCATTGTGTGACACTTCCTCAGTCTTCCCTGGGTGTCATCGTGTGACACTTCCTCAGTCTTCCCTGGGTGTCATCGTGTGATACTTCCTCAGTCTTCCCTGGGTGTCATCATGTGACATTTCCTCAGTCTTCCCTGGGTGTCATTGTGTGACACTTCCTCAGTCTTCCCTGGTGTCATTGTGTGACACTTCCTCAGTCTTCCCCGGGTGTCATCGTGACACTTCCTCAGTCTTCCCTAGGTGTCATTGTGTGACACTTCCTCGGTCTTCCCCAGGTGTCATCGTGTGACACTTCCTCAGTCTTCCCCCGGTGACATCTGTGACGCTTCCTCAGATTTCCCTGGCATCATCCTGTAACAATTTCTCAGTTTTCCTGGGCTTTTTGAACCTTGTTACTTTGAAGGCTGCTTATTTTGTAGCATATTCCTCAATTAGGGTTTTTGATATTTCCTTAATAGATGCAGGTTGTGCATCTTTGATCTTCTTAATTCATCCTTGCTGGTGACGTGAAGTTTCTCTTTGTTCTATTGCTGATAGGGTCAACTTCAGTCATTTGGTTAAGTTGTGCTTGCCAGGCTTTTCCACTGTGAACATTCTTTTTAATTAATAAGTATTTAGTAGGCAAATCCCAATCTGTTTAAAAATCTCTCTCTAATCCAACTTTTTATTTATTCGTTGATGTGTTTATATATGTGTGGAAATCATGGTTTCCTGATTTATTCAATGGGTTATGTATAATATGTTACTATTTATTTTGATGCTGAAAATGTGCCCTTGTAGCTGGCTTCATCTCCTTCTGACGTGTCCATGTCATTCTTTGAGTACTTCCTTGCTTTGGCACAAGAAGATGGTCAAGGCTTATCTTGTTCCCTCTATGCCCTGTGCTTAGAATTGGCCACTTCCTCGGGGAGCCCTGGTGTCTTCAGAGGAGAATGGCATTCAGAAGATAGGATCTGGGTGATAGGTGTGCTCATTGCTATTGAGTGGACAGAACCAGGGAATATGTATGTGAACAATATACAAATTTACATTTTATATTTATTTCTGTGTCTATATATATATGTTGAAAATTATGAGTTCATACCAGTACTCCTAGTCCACTTGAGTACCATAGGGTTCATTTCACACTATAGCTCTTGTCTCTCTTGGTGATAAGCCTGGATCCCTTTATCCCTAATATAGTGATTTGGCCACTCCTCTTGTATGTACCCAGTGTCCTGTTGCTGCCTTTGCCCTCTCCCCTGCGTGGCTCTGTACCTCACTCAGGGCTGCTCCACTTGTGGAGAGGCTGGCTGACTTCCCTGCTGGACCAGTGTGTGAGGAAGCGTCCTCACCCTCCGACTCTGAGTCATTGCATCCAGCTTTGCCTTTATGGAGACACGTGACTCACCTTGCTTGTGCTCTGACACCCACCCCGTGGCTTTAGGACTGAACTGTTAAGAGCAGGACAGAGCAGGAGACCACACCCTCCCCTTGATCATGTAGGCATCATCTTCCCAGAGTAGTGCCTGCTGGATACATGACACCCTAAAGAATCTTCTGGATTTGACAAGGCTGATGATGTCTCCAGTGAACATAAACCTCATTCTATCTTAGTCACCAGTGACTTAACCCTTAAAATTTTTATGGTGGTATTTCTTTTTTTTAGAGACATAGTTTCATTCTTGTTGCCCAGGCTCTGAAGTGCAGTGATGTGATCACAGCTCACTGTGGCCTCCAACTCCTGGGCTCAAACCATCCTCTTGCCTCAGCCTCCCGAGTAGCTGGGAATACAGGTGCATGCCACTACATGCAGATAATTTTTTTATTTTTTGTGGAGATGGGGTCTCACTGTGTTGCCTAGGCTAGTCTCAAACATCTGGTCTCAAGCAGTTCTCCCATCTTGGTCTCCCAAAGTGCTGGAATTACAGGTGCGAGCCACTGTACCTGAGGTGGTATTTCATGGATGCGGCTCAGCATGGCACACTGGAATGTATGGTGATTCTTGTGAATGATGGATCTTATGTTTAGGATATGAATAGGAAGAACTACGTGTTCCTTTAAAAATATGATTTTTTTTAATCTAAAAACTGACTTTTCCTCCTCCCTTTATCATGCAGGAACAATTTGGGTTGTCATGATATTACCATCTGTTTTAATACTATTTGTTCTGATTGAGAACTGCTGCAGTTACCTGCCTAGTCCTGTGAACTAATACTGTTGGATTTTTTAAGAATAGGGGCTGTGGAGAGACTCAGAAAATATGCTCACCTCTTTGGATATGTGATTAGAATATATTCACATCTAGGTCACAGGTGAAGTTGACCTTCAGAGAGGTGACAACCAATACCCAGTCATAGGGCAGTGAATACTGGCAGTGTTGGTGATGGGAAGACACTGGCATTTGTGCATTCCTTGGTCCTGGTAGACAAGCTCTTATTCTAAATTTACTTTATTCAGGTGAAGTTTACACATGGGGTGACAATGACGAGGGACAACTAGGAGATGGAACAACAAATGCTATCCAGAGGCCTCGGTTGGTAGCTGCCCTTCAGGGTAAGAAGGTCAACCGTGTGGCCTGCGGCTCAGCACACACCCTCGCCTGGTCGACCAGCAAGCCCGCCAGTGCTGGCAAGCTCCCCGCACAGGTCAGTGCTGGGTGGGCCGGGTGGACGAGGAGGTGGGCAAGGTGTGACAGTCACTGCCCGTGTGTTGAATCAGGCATAAAGCCCCCCACACGTGCTTTATTCTTTCATTGCATATTTATAGAGCTGTCTCGGTGAAAATATTCCAGTTCATAACGTTATAAAACAATGCTTTTAAGAATCTTAATATTCATGCCAGCCAACATTTTATGTGTATCACTATGTCACCACTTATTCTCCATCTTATAAACTACACAAAACTGTTCTAATAGTACATGGCTCACATGTTTCTTAGTAAATGTTTCTATAGGGTAATTTTTTTTAGCATTTTCCTTGGTTCACATTACTTGACTCAAATAGATTGGCCAGATTATTATTCTAAAAGTAACACATGAGGTTTTGCAACGAAACTCAGAAATTGTAATGCTTTTCTGGTTTTGAAAAGATTATTTTCAGAACCCTAAGTGGATTCCAAACTGTGGCTTATCTGTAGGTTTGATCCCTGTGTTGACTTCTGTGGTTCCAATGTCTTAGGTCCCCATGGAGTACAATCACCTGCAGGAGATCCCCATCCTGGCACTGAGGAACCGGCTGCTGCTGCTGCATCACATCTCAGAGCTCTTCTGCCCCTGCATCCCTATGTTTGACCTGGAGGGCTCTCTCGATGAAACTGGACTTGGGCCTTCAGTTGGGTTTGACACTCTACGAGGAATTCTGATATCCCAGGGAAAGGTACTCTAGCAGCAGTCTTTGCTATAGGTGAAACTGGTATCTTCAGTAAATTCTAATCTGGCAAAAATTCCTATACTATTAATAGTAATATAGAATGCAGAATACAGCTCATTCAGCAAATGTCCACTGAACATCTGCTGTGTGCCAGGCTCCGTTCTGGGTACTTGGAATATATCAGTGAAAAAACAGACAAAAATCTCTGCTTTTTTGGAGTTTATATTAAAAATTAATAGTATGGTACTGCATCTTTCCCTTGTAATCTCTACCTCCTACCTTTCCAAAAGGATGGGGTGGAGGGTTCCCCAAATTAAATCTTTGTTCATCCAGTGATTCTCTGCTTGCCTGGCCTTCTTGAGGCATTACGGCAAATCTCCACTGACACAGGAAGGAAAAACAAACTTTTTCTTCCAGGGATGTCCAGCAGAGGGCGCCAAGAGTTGCAGATAGCTTAGAAGTTCTGTCCTAGGATGTGTAAGGTAGAGAAGAGATTCTTAGTGGAATGATAATTTTACAGGCATCCTCAACCTACGGACTGCGGGCCACATGTGACCCACCAAGGACATTTATCCGGCCTGCTGGGTGTTTTTGCCACCACTGCCTTTCCTGCTTAGCAGCTGACTCGTCCTGGGCCCACAGTGCGCATGTGTGAAATGTGCACTGCATGCCCCAACGGTCTGAGGGACAGTGAACTGGCCCCATTTAAAAAGTTTGAGGACCCCTGATTTAACAGGTGGTGAATACAGTCGTGAATGAGAACATCTGAAAGTCCACAGACAGGTTTTGACCCTTAGGTATTTTTAATAATTAGAGTGTTCTATAATAGAAGTGGAATGCCTGATTCAGAAATTAGAGAGTTAGTTTCTGGCAAGCAGCTTTACAAGATCATCTAGAAGGGACTCGTTACTGTGTGGTAGGGAGGGTCTTTGTGTAGGAAAAAAGTGTAGAATTGGAGTGAGGAACATTGTAATCTAAGTGTGGTTCTATGACATATTTTATTATCAAATATTTTGGTCTATTCTTAGTGATAGAATAAAATTTAGGTATTTTGGAGTCCTGCCCAAATAGGTTAAATTTTTAGGATTCACTTGTTTCTGGTTGGCTAGAACAATTTCTGCTAAATAAGTCAAGTGCATGCATTTTATTTTTATTTTATTTTATTTTTTGAGAATAAACCAACTTTATTTTATAACAATATTATGGAAAGCAAAATATGTAATACAACTTAAGCTGCTATAAATCTATTTTGGCATCATAACTGTACATAAGATCAAAAGCAAGGGGAAAATGTTCAATACAGTTATTGAGTAAGAAGTCACAGGACTGGAAAGTCAAAAGGGTCCTATATGAAAAATATCCCCAGTGAAATTCTAAAACATCGTAGAAAATTTCCAAAATGTAAGAAATGGTTTTAATCTGTATCAATATTTTCTCATACAGTATATTTACTGCCATTGGAAAACTCCATAAATGTTTACTGTAAGAATTCCATGGAAAGAATCTGGAAGAAGGAAAGGCACTACCTAAATTAGTCACAGAGTTTCCTTTCCGCACACCAGCACCTGTTCAAGTGAACAGCACCCACCTGCGTGGCTGGCCTTGTTCATTGTCCTTTGATCAAAATGAGCCATAAAAAGCAGGTAGATACACAAAGTAAACAGGAAACAAAAACAAAGCCCTTTAATTAAAAAAAGAAAGAACTAAGAATATTTAAAAGTGGCTATAAAACAAAACAATATATTAAAATGGGTGAGAACAATGTAGACCAGAACTGCTAAGGTGAAGTTTGGTGTTGGCATTTTAATTCTTCAGGCTTCTGGTCATTGTTACCAGTCGTAGCATGTGGTATTAAGACTCAGAAGCCGGGCGCGGTGGCTCACGCCTGTAATCCTAGCACTCTGGGAGGCTGAGGCGGGCAGATTGCTCGAGGTCAGGAGTTCGAAACCAGCCTGAGCAAGAGCAAGACCCCGTCTCTACTATAAATAGAAAGAAATTAATTGGCCAACTAATATATATATATATATATATATATATATAATTAGCCGGGCATGGTGGCGCATGCCTGTAGTCCCAGCTACTTGGGAGGCTGAGGCAGAAGGATTGTGTTAATGGGCGAGAACAATGTAGACCAGAGCTGTTAGGGTGAGGTTTGGTGTTGGCATTTTAATTCTTCAGGCTTGTGGTCATTGTTACTGGTCATAGCATAAATTCTCCAGAGTAGTGGTGGGGCATTAAGACTCAGAATGGTCAAAATTCTTCAGGTTCAAAAAGTTGAATATTTTAAAAATGACTTTCTTTAGTTTTCCTCTTTCTCCTCCTTTTCATTGAGTATCATGATACTTCTGATTGCTATGTCAGGGTGCTGCTCTCTGATCACTTGAGCCAGCACCTTCTTTATCTGGTCATAATCAATATCTGCATCTCCTGTGACCATTATGCGTTTGTCAGTTCTGTGTCACACATGCCACCTTTTCCAGTCTGGGTGATGTGTATGGTGGTCGTCGACATGGATTTAGATGTGATGGTTTGTGTAGTTGATAATGTGCCTGAATCACCACCAACCTCACCATCAATCTGTGGAGACTCAAATGTGATGATTTTGGTCTCAGTTTGGACAATGGGGACTTCCTTGGTGGAGATTTCAGTCCTTTGTGAGGCATCAGAAATTGTTAGCATCTCTGTTTTTACCACTGGTGGCTCGTGTTTAATGGAAAGATCATCTCTCTGATGAGGGGAGCAGGAAGAAATTGGGAACAGGTAAAATTGATATGAACCTTAATTTCAACTATTTTCAATAATAAAAAGTAGTAAACTTAATTACTTTAATCTTCATTTTGTAATCCTTCAAAATGGAGTTGATAATAGACAGGGAGATAAAAGCCTTTCTTTATGGATGTGGGGGGGAAATGCAAGGCAGGGCACGTCCCACGTGGCGTTGTGAATGTGTCGTGGGCTGTGAGCTGGGGCTGCATGGACTTCGGGCACGGTGGGTGGGTGTGAGCCAGTATGTGGGGTACATGGGGTGGCGGTAGGCAGCAGCATTCGGCTCCTATGCTGAGGCTGTAGGGGAGCAGGGAGCGCTGAGGGCATCTGAAAGGCACCTCAGCAGCAGGGACTGTGCAGGCAGCCTCTGTTCTGGTCCTGGGTGTCGGCAGGTATCTGCCTCTGCTGGAGAGGTTTGGGGAGTGGGTGTCACCTCCTATTCAGAACACCAGAGAGGGTGCTACAGGATGGCTGGTTGGGCCAGTGGATAATTCAGAGAAGGAGAGTGCTCCCATGGAGGATGAGCTGCCTTCAGGTCTGGGCTGAGTGCAGGAGAGCAAGGTGGAGGTGGGGCTGTGTGATCGCCCACTGGTTAGAGAGAGCTGGGACCCCTGTTGATCCTGATTCCTTTGAGTGCCCCTCAAGTCCCCAGCCCCCTTTCCATTGGCACAGCTGTGTCCTGTGCCCCATGCCCTACCCTGTGAGCGTGCCAGCCTTCCTCCCTCCTGGGTGCTGCCTGAGTCCTCACTGTGGTGCCCATGCTCAGGCTGCACCCCACTCTCTGTCCTAGCCGTCTTTGCCCTGGCACTCCAGGTTTCTTTCCGTGCATGCTCACAGCCCAGACTTTGTGTGTTTGGGTTTTCCTCCTTGGTTTGACTTCCCTATGCCCACCCCAGGGCTGGCTGGCTCCATGGGGCTCCCTGACCCTGCCACTGCTTTGTGGCACAGTTACTGGTTTAATGTCTATCCCTGCCACTGGTGGACTTGTGGTTTGGCAGGGAAACCCTTGGCTTTCTAGGCCTGAGTCAAAGCAGGTGTTTGCTGGGGTCCAGCCCTCCCTGCTCTGTGTCCAGCATGTGCTAGGCTCCTCTAGCCTCCTTTCCTGAGGGGCACCCTGAGTGTGTGCCCAGCCGCTGGCACTACTTGCTCTTCTATCCACCCCCATGCATGTCAGTGCCAGGCCACTTCCCTGTGGCCTCACAAATTGAGAAAGGGATGGCAGTTTTTTATTCTTAAAGTCTGGCTTTCAAAGCAGAAGATTTTAAACACAACTGTTACATGATTTCTCTATGGATGATACTTTCTGTATGGGATTCTAAATTTTGTCTGTTTGACTTGTTTTAGGAGGCAGCTTTCCGAAAAGTGGTACAAGCAACTATGGTGCGAGATCGCCAACATGGGCCTGTTGTGGAGTTGAACCGAATTCAGGTAACATGTGGAAATTGTTCTGAGTCTGACAGTCTTAAAAGTAATGCTTTCATGGGTTCAAGTGGTGTCCCTGCAGCCTGAGGTGGGTGGAGAGCACTCGTAGCTGCCTTCCTGTGTGTCCCCACTTTAAAGAGCAGGCGCCACCTTCTTTTTGTGGTGCTTCATGTGTGTGATGTCCTGTGATGCTGAGGCTCCAGGAAAGTAAGTGTCTTTCTTTATAATGGAAGTAAGAAAGGTTTATTTCAGATAATCTCAAAGCACAAATATAGTTAAGCCAACAAGGGAAAAATAAATATCAGGCATATTTCTACCACACAGTGATAACTACTGCTGTTACCTTTGTGGAGTATATGTTTGGTATAACCAAAACCGGATCACTCTATTTTGTTACTGGCTGTTTTTTTCCACTTAATGCATCTTGAGCTCCTCCATGCCTTGGAGTAGGATTCTGTGGGTCGTTTGTGCTCGACAGCTGCCTGCTCTTTTCTTGTAGGGTGTGTCCAGGTTTGCTCTGTCAGACTCCTCTGCTGGGGGCTGGAAAGCTGTGCCCACTTTTCTCTAACACAAGCAGGGTCGTCTATGGGCGTGTCTTCAGTCACCCTCTAGGTTAAGTTCCAAGAAGTGGAGAGGGTCAGAGGCCCCATCACAGCCTAGTATCACATCCATTTATGGGCTCTGACAGTTCACGCTCCCACCGTCCCCACATGCTCCCCAGCCTTGGCGGTTTTATTTGCCAGTTTTGTAAGAATTGCTTGTACTGTCTCATGGTAGTAATCAAAGAAATGAAAGGTTGACCATTTCTGAATATATACTGCTACCCACTGTATATAAACTCAGAGTTGAAAAAAATTAATTAAAAAAAGAGGCGCTGGCCATTGATGCTGATAGCGTGCAGCACTTGACATTTAATGCTCAACGGAAACGGGCCTCGCCTCTGGACCCAAAACAGAGAGCTTTGAAGAACAAATTCTTTGTTCCTGTACCTTTGTATTAACACATGATTTTTACCCTCATGTTGATTATATGACTAGAAACTTTTCAGAGTTGTACTTGGGGGCATTTTGAATTGAGACATGAAACTCTTGTCCTTTGTTGGACAGCACATGTGACCACATTGATGGAACTGGTCTCCTCACTGACGTCAGAGGACTGAATGCGAAGCTGTAGGCAGTCAGCCACTTCCACAAATAAATGGCTTGTTTAATTAGGTTCATAGAAAAGCTTTTATTTTCCCACCTTGGATGATCATTGTGATTTGCTCTGCATCATTAGGTCATAAATACTAAAGTTTGTCAGTCAGGAGAGCTGAAGGCTTCCAGGTCATCTGGAATGAATGATTGAGCATTCCTGGATAGTATACCTGCCCCAGAACCGCATGGAGGCTCCTGGGGGCCAGGGGTGCTCAGCCTGGGTGTCCAAGCCTGGGGGGCTCCGGACATCAGTGAAGCCCTGGTTAGGCACCCTTGCTTGTCTTTCTCTCATCTCAGATTGTTAAGAAATCATTACACACTGAATACCTCTTTCCTACTCATTTCATATCCCCAGCCTTGTGTCGATAAAGTGTGCAATACATGCTTGAAAGAGCAAACTGGGTAGATGACAAATAAATTTATATTAGGCTTTTTCAAGAATCAGATAAACACTTTCAGCCCAATGTGCAATGTGGATTGCTGTCTGGGGCTGCTCCAGAGCCAGGCTCCTTTCAGTTCAGGGTATCGTGCTGCCTCTTGAAGCCGGAAAGTTCTCCCCAAATATGGAAATAGAAGCGTTTTTCTGACCAGAATGGAGCAGGGGGAAAAAGCATTCGCTGAATCCAAGGTGAGCACAGGAAACGAGCACTGAGCCAGAAAGCCTTCGTGGGCTCCTCTGCCCAACTACTCCAGGCTGCAGTGCGCTCAATATCAGCCCCCTCCTGTGGAGACGTCTGTGTGTGGAAAGTTCCCGAGACGCCAAAACACAGGTCGTCTTCCTGGAAGGCTTTTGTTTGTTGTGAATTTGATTTATTTTTATAACAAGATCTGAAACTCAGTGAATAAAAATGTTTTTAATTACTTTAAAATTTATTACAAAATTAATGCATGCTCATTTCTGAAAATTTAGAAAATTCAGATTGAAGACTATTAATTAAAGACTGTTACTACTCTGCAGAGAAAGCACCATCCCACATGGGCTGCTTTCCTCTCAGTGTCAAGATTATTCACGTGGCCATAGTCTATGGAAACTGAGGACAGATAGCCGCTGCCAGTCGGCACTGCTATGGAGGAGGGAAGTGCGGGGGGAGTGGGAGGCTGGGTATGTGTCCCTCCGCTTGCATGGTGGCCATGGCACTGTGTATGCCTTTTGCTCCTTTTCCTTCCATGGCCCAGTCTCCTTCAGGGGACAGAGCTCAAAGTGCTGCCATGAGAGTTAGAGGAATTGGTGCTGTGAGCATCTAGGCAAGTGTGTGGTACACAGAAAAGTTCATTCTACAGGGAAATGTTTTTATTGTCATCATTCTGACATTTTTAGTCTTGGCTATGGAAATTTGTGCTGTGAGGAGAATTATTAGCTGTTTAAACTCAACCTAGAACTCAAAGTGATTTAAAAATGAGAGTTTTGCTTGGGAAATCAACATAAAAATACATTGTCATGACCATTTTTTCTTTGACTTTTCATTTTGACATCACTTTAGACTGAGCTTCCAGGTGACTGAAGCACAGCCTCGGCCACCAACTGTAGGATAAGCAACATCCACACTGGTGGGAGGGCCTCAAGGCCCCTAGTCTGATTGCTTCAAAAATCTTAGGTTAGGATGAGAACTGGGGGCACAAAAAGTGATCACACTTGTCGGGGAGACCTGGGGACCCTGAGGGTTGGAAATGGGGTCAGTGTGGCTGAGTAGGTAAGGGGCAGAAGGTGTCCTTTTAGTCAGGTGGTGCATCTGCGTCAGTCTTGGAACCATTTGATAGCAATCTCTGAGCACAGAGACTCCGTCCTAGTCTGCTAGGCGGGCTGCTTCTGGAGTTCCTGGTGTCTTGCTTCTTGTGGCCACGCCCATGTGGTAAAGTAGTGGGCAGTAGGTAAGGTTTTAAAGCGTGAAGGGAATCAGTGCAGTGTTGCCAGATTGTTGGGAACATGCTGCCACTTGCCTCACGTGAACAATGATGATGGCTTATGTTGCTTTTTGAAGGTGTGTTTGTTCTGACACCACCAGTCCTGGAGGCTGCTGTGCAGGTCACTGTGCAGGTCACCGATGATGTGCAGAGTGGGATGGGGGACGGTGAATTCAGGTGTTCAGAGTGGAGCACCCTGGATGGTGGGGTCTGCGCAAGCAGGGAGGAGGCTGTGCGTGCAGCCTCCACCCATACACTGCCTGGCACTGGGGCAAGGGACCACAGAGGGTGGGCCCAGAGCCCTCCAAGGGCATGGGCTGCAGGAGACGAGGGGATCTGGGTGGTAGTGGCCTGTGGAGAAGGCTCAGGAGGCATGAACTCAGGGCTGCTCCCAGAGCCCTCTCTCGCTTCCACAGGCATTTCACAGCTGAGCTTGCTTGCAGTGGCCACGGGGTGCAGGTTCCCTTGGCGTGTCCCAGACCACATGCCTTCACGCTTCTTTTCCTTCTCTCCAGGTCAAGCGCTCCAGGAGCAAAGGGGGGCTGGCCGGCCCTGACGGCACCAAGTCCGTCTTTGGGCAGATGTGTGCCAAGATGAGCTCGTTCAATCCCGACAGCCTCCTCCTTCCTCACCGTGTCTGGAAAGTCAAGTTTGTGGGTGAGAACCTTCATGCACTGGGGAACCTGTGGCCCCAAGAGGCGGTAGCCCACGCCTGCAGGGAGCGCAGGCAGAGTGGTGCAGGGGCTGTCAGGGTGGCTATGAGTGGCTGCTGCTCCTTTCCTTCCAGGTGAATCTGTGGATGACTGCGGAGGCGGCTACAGCGAGTCCATAGCTGAGATCTGTGAGGAGCTGCAGAATGGACTCACACCCCTGCTGATTGTGACACCCAATGGGAGGGACGAGTCCGGGGCCAACCGAGACTGCTACCTGTTCAACCCTGCTGCGAGGGCGCCCGTGCACAGCAGCATGTTCCGCTTCTTGGGTGAGCTTTCCTTCCAGCTGCTCGCCATCCTGCATTGGCGAGGCTGTGCCCACCCTTCAGTTAGCTTGATGTCTGTGCTCTGTTTGGGGAGTGACAGTAGATATTTTTGAACATCTGCTTTTAGCTCTTGACACTCATACTGATCAAAATTATTTCCAATGTATGTGTTTTACCGGCACTGTGGGAGGTGCACAGGGTGCTGCTGTTGACTCCCCTCGCTGGCACTAAGGGCTTGGTAGTGGTGGCCCATCCATGCATAGCTACAGCGACTTACAGAGCCGGTAGTCCTGGCCATGTGCTGAGGACTGGAAGATGCCTTTGGCACTCAGAGGGTGAAATGCCATGTTCCTGCATTTAAGATGTATCTGAAACTCAGGATCAGATGGGGCAGGGTTTTGGCAGGCAGCCAGTCCCTCTGCACTACTCCATTAGGGGTCTGTGGAGCAGTCTCAGCTATGGGGTCCTGGCACTACCTCCCCTCCCCAGGGGGCTGCTCTCTGGCAGGGCACTGCCTTGGAGAAGCTCCAGCTCTTTGCTTTGCCATGAGAGGAATAAGAATCGGCCTCTGTGTCCTTAAACCTGTGTGTGGCAAGAACATGAAGAGTTAGAGACTTAGAGAACAAAAAGAAATGATGAATTTAGAATAGGTCACACTGTTTTAAGGATGGACCCAGATCTCTGGACTTATATTATTGATTTAGAGGGCACTGTGGCCTCAACATAGAGCTAATGCCCTGTGGCATGTGAGTGAACTACGAGTTTTGTCATAGAATCCAAGTGTCTTCTGTGCTTGTGTTTTGAATGGTCAGGTGTGTTATTGGGTATCGCCATCCGGACCGGGAGTCCCCTGAGCCTCAGCCTGGCTGAACCCGTATGGAAGCAGCTGGCCGGGATGAGCCTCACCATTGCAGACCTCAGTGAGGTAACTCACCCTGGGCGCTGCGGGGTCCCCTGGGGCTTGAGAGGCACAGTTTGTTCCGGGTTCTGGCAGGCTCTGAGTCCTGCCTGACTCACAGTCCCACGTGATACAGGGGCTGCTGCTGTGGACACCTATGAGTAGCAATGAAGGTCTATGGATATGAGGCCAATTTGCTTCTGGAACTTGCTAGATCCATTTATTTTTGTGTTGCTTTGTGACTTACACATTCTTGTCAGATGAGAAAGCTGGCAGGGGGAAGTGCCAAGCCAGTGACCACAGCCGATTGCCTCCCTGCTGTGGCTGTGCAGAGGAACTGTCCCTGCCAGTTGCTTTACTTTCTCAGTGGTTAATTTTAAGAATTTAGTTGAATTATGAATTCATTTTCCAGTTCCTTAGGTGAAGTACTTTCCTGTTGCTGTTTTCTTTTATTTCTTGGTACCTGTGACACACAGCTTCCCTACACACCCTGAGGCAGACCAAAGCCCCCACTGGACTGAGTGTGCTTAGGGTGGGCTGAGGCCTGGGACAGGGAAACAGCCCTGATTCAACACGTGGACTCTCTTTTTCTCCTTAAAAGGTTGATAAAGATTTTATTCCTGGGCTCATGTACATCCGTGACAATGAAGCCACTTCAGAGGAGTTTGAAGCCATGAGCCTGCCCTTCACGGTGCCGAGTGCCAGTGGCCAGGACATCCAGCTGAGTTCCAAGTACACACACATAACCCTGGACAACCGCGCAGAGTACGTCCGGCTGGCAATAAACTACAGGTTCGTGGTATCTGCTCTCAGTTTCTTTGACTTGATAAATAGCAAAAACAGCAGACACTGGTTGTCTGGACATCTGTGTTGGTTCAGAACTATCATATACAGTAAATGCTGAGGCATTTGGCTCCAACTATAGCTGATCTGTGGTTATTAAGCCTATTTTGTGATTAGGGTTAAAGTATTTATTTTTCTAGTATGAAATTCCTGGCCCTGACTAGAATACTGAGGTAAAGAAAATCCACCCATTTAGGGGACTGCCTCACAGAGGCCACAGGGCCTGTTTGCGTCCCTCTGTGCTCTCTGTCAGCTCTCCTGGGACAGGGCTGTGTCAGTGGCTGTCCCAGCCCTATGTGGCCACTGCTTGTTGTAAGGGGCACCTGGAAGGCCTGCAGGGCACCCTCCTCTGCTATCTGAAGTCACTCCCCTCAGTCCTGACAGATGGGAAGAGTGTGGCTACAGTGCTCTGTGGCCAGTGGCCAGGCTTGGTATTAGCAGAACAAAGTCAGTGCCTCCTGGGATGGAAGTGTGACGTGAGTTTTTTCTTTCAGACTCCATGAATTTGATGAGCAGGTGGCTGCTGTTCGGGAAGGGATGGCTCGAGTTGTGCCCGTCCCTCTTCTTTCTTTGTTCACTGGATACGAATTGGAGACGATGGTAGGCTGACTCCCGAGTTGTGTTGCCCCGGAACTGCCACTAGTTAATTTTTTATTAATAGCTAAAACCTTGCATTTGGAAATCTAAGATATATCCGTGAGTGCTAAAGTAAAAACACACTCTAAATATGTGACTCCTTCAGCTGATCCCACGGGAGGTTGGGGCTCAGGGTTTCGTGCATGTCCACCCGGGGCCCCCAGGACTTTCCCTGCCCTTAAACAGGCCTTGGTAGAGAGAAGGAGTGATCAGATCTTGCTGAAATGAAAGGCATCAAAGTGTCAGGTGGCCCTGACAGAGTGTCCATTTGCAGGTGTGCGGCAGCCCTGACATCCCTCTGCATCTTCTAAAGTCGGTGGCGACATATAAGGGGATTGAGCCTTCCGCATCCCTGATCCAGTGGTTCTGGGAGGTGATGGAGTCCTTCTCCAACACAGAGCGTTCCCTCTTTCTTCGCTTTGTGTGGGGCCGGACGAGGCTGCCCAGGACAATTGCTGACTTCCGGGGCAGAGACTTTGTCATCCAGGTAGGTTCCCTGCTGGGCTCATTGGGCCCTGGGCTGTCAGCTGATGGTAACATGCCTCTCATACATGATCTCACAGCAGATTGAAATATGGGTCTCATGTGTCTTCATGGGAATGAAAATGGGAAACACCCAACTTCTGTGATTTGAAGGCTGAAAATTCTGTGATTATAGGTCTTGGGTACCATTACCTATTTTTTAAAAATTTATCCAGCCATCACTAGAATCTTATTATGGAAACACACATTATGTAAGATATTTGGTTCTCTGGTTGAATTAGATGAATCACTAATATGCTACTTATAGAGAAAAATTAGACCACTCATCAGAACGAGAATAAGAGTTTTGCTTTGGGTTCTAACCCTGGATCCCTTGTCAGAAACTGCCTCAATTTACTTGCCTGGCACTGAGGTGGAATGACTCTCTCTCTCCTGAGACCCTGGTGGCAGTACACTGGGGGGATGGACCAGGTAGATGGGGTCCACTCTCCCTGGATGGCTCTTTTCCAAGCACAGCCTGACTTGAGTCTCTGGGCAGGGTTAGAATAGTATCCGTTTTTCAGGGAGATCTTTGAGAGCCTATATCATTTTTCCTTTAAAAAGGTAGGTTTTGTCTGGGCGCAGTGGCTCACGCCTGTAATCCTAGCACTCTGGGAGGCCGAGGTGGGCGGATTGCTCCAGGTCAGGAGTTTGAAACCAGCCTGAGCAAGACCCTGTCTCTACTAAAAATAGAAAGAAATTAATTGACCAACTAATATAGACATAGAAAAAAAATTAGCTGGGCATGGTGGCTCATGCCTGTAGTCCCAGCTACTCGGGAGGCTGAGGCAGGAGGATCGCTTGAGCCCAGGAGTTTGAGGTTGCTGTGAGCTAGGCTGACGCCATGGCACTCACTCTAGCCTGGGCAACAAAGCGAGACTCTGTCTCAAAAAAAAAAAAAAAGGTAGGTTTGTCCATAACTCTTGCTGCTTCCTAGTATTTTAATTTGTAGTGGCCAAAAGTGGGCTGATGGACTCATGAAGCATTTTCCCATGTGGTCAAGTGCCAGGCCTGAGCCCATTGCCCTACCCCCCAGAATCCCCATACCTGTCAGGCTGGGGGCTCACCTGTGTGGACAGGGGTGGGTGGAGCCATTGGGCCCTCTTTATGGGGTGATTAGGAGAAAATAATTATCATGATAACTAATTGCTATTTTTTACTAGAAGTTCTAGGAATAAGTTGTTCCTTTTTCAAATTGGCTAGATTATGATTTCTGATATTTTATTCTTAGCAAAAAATATGATTTCTGTGAGTTAAGAGTCTAATGAACACAATAAAATAGATTTGCAGTTTTACCTATCCTTGTACATAGTCTCTGATTATTTAAAATTTTTCATCAACAGGTATTGGATAAATACAACCCTCCTGACCACTTCCTTCCCGAATCCTACACCTGTTTCTTTTTGCTGAAGTTGCCCAGGTATTCCTGTAAACAGGTGCTGGAGGAGAAGTTGAAATACGCCATCCACTTTTGCAAATCCATAGACACAGACGATTATGCTCGCATAGCCCTTACGGGAGAGCCAGCTGCCGATGACAGCAGTGATGACTCGGATAATGAGGATGTGGATTCGTTTGCTTCAGACTCTACGCAGGATTATTTAACAGGACACTAAGATGGAGACATAGCAAGAGACCGAGCATGGAGGCAGAGCGTTACTGCTGAGATTGCAGAATGTACGAGGTATCTGATGAGAAATGTCAGTCCTCAAAATGTGTGGGGGGGAGGTGGAGAGGCTGACTGCTCGTGACTGGAATAATGAAGAGAATGATGATGGGGAAATTAGCCTGGGCACGTGGAACTCTATGTGGACACTTGGCATTTACTTTTGAAACTTAAAAGGGTCTTCTCACCCGTAATGCTGCATTACATGTAGGACTCTGTGTTTACTAAAGTGTGTAAATGTTTATATAAATACTGAATTGCAGCATCCCAAAAATGAATAAAGCCTTTTTACTTGTGGGTGCAATAGATTTTTTTTTCTTTTTTCTTCAAGTGTCGTGAGTTTTTTGATTGTATATTGGACATACTGTGTAACAATTAAATCGTATTATAAATATTTCAATTAATTTTACTCTGAATTTGTTTATTAAAAGCTTTTTGAACATTAAATGATCAGTATTACTTGAATGCATCCAGAGGTTATTTAAACCAAAACAAAAAACAAAAAGGCCATCTGGTTCTCCCTCTTGTCCCCAGGTGTACTATTTTAGCGTATGCATTATGTAGTTTGAATTGAGGCCTTTCTGTGAGCAGTATCGTAACTCCTACCATGAAAAGTGTACTATATATAATGTTTGTGTCATGTATATGCCTAAATTTTAATTCCCTATAATAAAACATCTGTCACAAAATTGTAGGCTGAACTTTCTTAACCAGCTAGACTAGCATTGGTGGATATGTAGAATCAAAAAATAAAATGATATTTGGTACATTGGTAGTCAAGCCATTCCAGTCTAGTTTAGACTTTTTTGATTACAAAAACCAGAAGTGATCATTAGGAGAATGGAAGGCTCCAAGGGGAACAGCTGGTGTTGGGCCACAGGGCCCAGGAACGCTCAGGGTCCACTCTGACTCCCGCGCCAGCCATGTCTGTCTGCACAGTCTTGGTTCCTGTACCACTGGACTGGGGTCAGGGGTGTCTGTGTCCAGTCAGCCAGGGGGCAGGATTTGAGCTGCTTGTGTGTGGCAAGCACTCTGCAAAGGGAGGGATTGAGAACAGGGTAGGAAAACCAGCTGACAGGTCTAGTGCATGAGAACTTGAGAATAGTACCAGATCAAAGCAAAAGTATGTATGTTTCATACATACTTTCATGTTCAGAGACAGTTTCTTTATTCAGGGACAGAATAAAGACAGGGTCTCTTTATAGACAGGGTTTCACTCTGTCACCTGGGCTGGAGTGCAGTGGTGTCATCAAAACTCACTGCAATCTTAAACTCCTGGGCTCAAATGATCCTCCTACCTCAGTCTCCTGAGTAGCTGGGACTACAGGCATGTGCCACCATATCTGGATAACTTTTTTTATTTTTATAGAGACAGGGTCTTGCTATTGCCCAGGATGATCTCAAACTCCTGGCCTCAAATGATCCGCCCGCTTTGGCCTCCCAACAGGGGAAGAATATTTAGCACCAACAAAGAAGATCCAAAGAGGAAAAGATTTTTCCTGGAAGCTTATTCATGACTGAATTGGTGAATGTCAGGATTAGTCCTATTTTCAGCTTGGCTCAACATTTCTGTAAGCTGTGTGGTTATTTTTTTAATCACCATCCCTTTTGTTGTTGGTCAGCTTTTGCCACATGGTAGAATTGCCCCAAAGTCACTGGCATCCAAGAAGCAGCGTTTGTGTCTCATTCATACCCCTGGCTTGGCTGACCCTGTCTGATACCCTGGACAGTGGGCTGAGTAGGGCCATGCTTCATGCACCTCTCCTGGACCCAGGCCTGCTCAGCACAGTCATGACACAGGTGCAAGAGGTCTCAGAACTGCATTGTCCCCTCCACCCACATTCCACTGGCCAAAGCCAGCCATGTGGCCAAGCTCAGAATCAGTAGGCTGGCCAATGTATTCTGCCTGTAGAACAGTGGTTCTCCAAGTCTCATCTGGGGACCCTGGGGTTTCTGAGGCCCTTTCAGGTGATTCATAAGGTCCTCCCTCCAACTATGCATCTTTATGAGGCCAGATATTCTTTCTATACTTTCACCAAAACATAGGGCGATTGGGGACTGCAGAAGCAGGAGAGAGAATCCAGCTATCCTATATTGAAGCCAGGTCGTGAAGAGACTAAGGAAAACATCAGCATCATTCCTCTCACTACATTATTTTGTTTTGGAAAGTAATGTTTCAAAATAGTATCCATGTTAAGATGTAATAGGTTTTTATTTTAAATGTATTAAATATTTAAAATTTTTCCAGTTTTAGTTTCCAACATGATAGAGAGGATATATATGTAACCCAGATAAAAATTAGTGAGGATCCTGGAGAGCTTTAAACAGTATAAAAGGGTCCTCAGACCAAAACTTGCTGCTCCAGAGTGGACATGCAAAGCCACCACAGAGGCGGGGCTCAGGGACGCTATGTGGGACAGCCACACCGCTGTGCTGGCTGTCTCTGCTCTCTTTGTGCTATCAGAAGCAATTGCCTGAGAGTTCTTTTTATTTTAACTTCAAGAATACTAAAGATTATCTATTTTCTTCTCTTATACCACTTTACTCCTAAAAACAAACAAGGAGGGGCTTTGATTTTCATAGTAACAGTTTCTTTTTTACCCAAAAGACTGGACAGTTACATGCCCTCTTCAGTTTAACCTTTTACTCATCCACCTTCTGAAGCCTAAAATTATAGTTCCCTTTGGCAGATCAAAATTCGTGCAGCAGAACCTTATAAATAGGAAACTGTAGGAAACACAGGACCGTCTGTGCTAGTGGTGGACTCTTAGTCACACTTGGACAGTCCACCAACATTTTGAATTGTGGATTAATTATGTGGTGGCAGGCATCATGTTTGTTTTTCTGCGGATACAAGTGATAGTGGATGTGTGCTTATGATGTGTGTGATGCTATGTTCTGCTTAGATTTACAAGAACTTCACGTGGTGTCTGACAGTGTTCACCCTCAGAGTCCCGACAAAACTTCTAGTTTTCTTCACATGGACAGTCCCCAAACTTGCCCCCGAGGAGAAGAGAGGCCTCCCTACCCTCCAGAACTTGCTCACGGGCCAGCCCAGCTGTGCCTTCTGCTTCTCCCCGCCTACCCCAGCAGAGTCACACCGCACGTCTGTGCACAGCCCACGTGGATGTGGCCCACGGTCTGGCTCTGCGGTTTATCCACATCAAAAGCTGCTTATGTGTCCTTCCAGGCCCAAGTGCAAGCTCCACAAGCTGAGCTGGGTTTCCTAGAGTGTGGCTCAGCCCTGGCCTGGCCCACCTGGAAGAGTATGGGTGGACCATTGTGGGCCAGCCACTGTTCCGAGGCTGCACCCAGGACCTCAGGAGGCATGTCTTGCTCGGCCTGGGCTAGGCCCAAGTTTGGCAGGCTTGCTTAAGGAAACCTCCTGGACATTTACGAATAGCTGCACTACTTCAGGCATGTGCCGCTGCCTGAGGGGCAGTCAGCAAGGAAGAATGTGGTGGCAGTACCTGGCTGGGCGTGCGTGCTCGCCAATATTGTTTTCATTTTCATCAGCAAGGAATATTGCCCAACAACATCGTGGTGACCCCTGGCTGCTGCCGTCTTTCCTCACCCTCAGGTTTAACTGGAAACCTGGGAATACTGGAGAGAGGAGGCTTCATTTGCAAAAAGAAAAAGAAAAGGAACACCACTTCCATTTTGGGAAGAGAAGGGAGAGGTCTGAGGTATGACATTCCTTTCTGAAATGTGCAAATTCATTGTGAAATCCCCTTAGAGTGCTCTGAGTGAAGTTAGTGAAGCAAAAGTTTCCCTGGGCCTGCACTCTGCACTGTTCACAAGCAGGCCACAGTGTCACCTGGGACTGGGGTGCTACCTGCTCCGATTAACTCATCAGAGCAGCCAGGGCAACGTGTGAGTGTGAGATTCCTCGCAGTTTAAATCTGCCCTGTGGCCCAGGTCTTGTGATTCTTCCAGTTCTCATTCTCCTAGAGCTCATGTTTTAGCATTAACGTAAGCCTGATTAATAACTTTTTTCTTTTTTGTAGGAAAATACTTCACAGCAAGGGCCTCTGCTAGGACCTGTCTCTTGTCGCTTGGATCCCACCAGTTAGGCGGAAACCCGGTGGGCACCAAGAGCAGGGAAGTGGAAGGGTGAGACTCCCAGGCTGCAGGTGCTGGTCCTGGGTGTGCCACAGGAAGCAGGACACAGAGGGTCCCCTGGCGCTTCTGTACGCCGGGCCTGGGCTGGGCTAGGGCACAGAGTCCCTGTCTGTCCTGGTACAAGCTGACACCGGTAGCCAGGGTGTTGGGGATCTCCTCCCACTCAGACGTGCCGGCCGGCTCTGACCCTTCCCCATGCACAATGGGCTTTGCTGCGGCGACACGTGCCACATGCTGTAGGCTCTGCCACCAGGCCCGTAGTTGACTCTTGCTGGCTCGTCGTGGTGGCCTCAGGCATGTGGTGTCACCATCGTCCCTAGGGAGGTCCCCGTGCGGTACCTGCATGGCCCTGCGCCTGCCAAGGGGGTGTCAGTGCCCAGTCCCCTCCTCACCTCCCATGGTTTGTGTGATAGAAAACGCCCTCTGGGATGGTGGTGTCCAGGCAGAGCTGCCCCAGGCTCAGTGCAGGCACCCGGAAACCTGTGGGTGACACGCAGGTCCCAATGGAGGAGCAAGCGCAGAGGGGGACGCTCAGCCCTTCCCACTCCTTCTGGCTGTGTGGCCTTGGGTACAGACTCCTCTTTGGTGAGGGGCAGCATGCATGCATGTACACACACGTGCACACACATGCCACAGGGCCAGGACTGTGGGTGGGCTCGTGAGGGGCTGGGCCTGCCTTGGGATCCTGACCCACAGCAAGAGGCCTAGGCCCCAGAACTTCTGGTTACTGCCAGGGGCATGCCATGGTGGCCGACCACATCAGAAACTGGCCAGGTCCACTGGCAGCCAGTCTGGTCAGTGGAAAAAAGGTGAAAGATTCCAAGATTCCATCCTGTCAGGAAACCTCCTTCATGGGTGGGAGGCATTTACCCTAAGTGGGGCTGACTGTCCTGTGGTGGCTTTCCCTGACCCAGAGGGCTGTGAGCAAGGTGTGCCATGCAGCCACTCCCCCAGCTGCCAGACTTCGGTTACTCTGCGATCTGAATAGAAACAGAGACACATACACACACACACACACACACACACAGAGTCAACCCAGTGCGTGAGCAGAAGGAACCAGTAGGATCCTGGGTTCACAGGTGACGATCGTTATGCCTGTCTGGAGCCTCTGGTCACCCAACCCCGCCCCACACAACACACACAAACACACCACAACTCTCCCCACAAAGACCTCTGGGATCCTGGAGAACTTCCCTAAATACCTTGTAGGAAGACAAGGAGTAGACTTTAGGATGTTGGCCTGAGTTGGTTTATCCATTCAATTGCTGAAAGACATCTTGGTTGCATCTAAATTTTGGCAGTTACTCGTAAAACTGCCATAGGACATTCTTTGTGCAGGTGTTGGTATGAACGTAATTTTTCAACTCATTTAGGTAAATACCAAGGAACATGATTGAAGGGTTGTATTGTAAGAGTGTTTAGTTTTTTCAGAAACTGCCACAACTATCTTCCAAAGTGTCTGTACCATCTTGCATTCCCACCAAGAATGAGAGTTCCTATTGCTCCACAGCTTGTTACATTTTAAAATGCCTTTAAAATACAGAACTTAACTCTAGAATCTC